CTATAATATATATCACTGATATTTGACTACCCGATATGTATAAGATATATACGTGATGTTTACAAGATATGTCACCGATATTTGACTACCCGATATGTATAAGATATATACATGATGTTTACAAGATATGTCATCGATATTTGACTACCCGATATGTGTAAGATGTATACATGATGTTTACAGTATATGTCACCGATTTTCTACATTTCTACTACACATATTGGGTACCTGATATGTGTGATATTGTTAAATATCATACACATATATCACATATATTATACACATATCAGGTACCCGATATGTACCCGATAGTATTGATTTTGACCAGTGTGCACAAGTTGAGTTTAACGCACAAACTCAAATTCAACAGATTAAAACTTCCGATAGACTTAGATTTAATTATACACCATATAACATTGATTTCAGTTGTCCAATTTTTCCAAATATTGGACCAATAGTACGAATTCAAGATCCTAAACATGCTAAGAAGACGGGACGTAATGCAGCAATGTCTGGTGCTCGAGCTCTCACATTTGGTCATTCTACTATAGGATTTAATCATTTTACAAAATTGTTATCTCATCTCCAAAGTCCCATGTATAAGTCTGATGTGTATAAGCTTGATCGTCAAGATGATGGTGCAGCTTATCGAACCTTTTGCCCTAAAAATTTGGCATGTTGCCTTGATTCTAATAATAAGATCAAATCCGAATTCAAGGGCACATTTATATATCTATTTATAATTGGTAAGGAACTGCAACTCTTTTGTTTATAAATATAAATATACTAAATATATTTATTTAATATTTATCTTATTTTATTAGGTGAATTGGTTGATAGTTATTTGAATAGAAATATTTCACCTCTTGAACGAATAAGAATGGCAATGACTTCTTATTTTTTTTTGCGAATTTGGCGATTTCATATAAATACATTAGCACGAAAGTATCCTGAATTTATTTCTGTATCTCAGAACTTTATTGCATCTCAAACATTTGCAATAATGACTTCATTAGCAGAATCAATAGTTTTACTTGTAAAAGCTCATAGAGATTATTATAGTCAATATCCTCTTATTCCTTGGATTTATGGTTCAGAAGCCTGTGAACATTTTTTTGGAGCAGCACGGCAAATTAATGCTGATTTTGATTTTGCAGAGTTGTTAGAAATGGTACCGAAAATTGGCCACTATACCAAAGCATTAAATTCAAAAGTATTGTCTTTCAATAAAGAGAAATCTGTACGTGATGGTAAGTAAAAAAAATTCCTTTGTTTAATACTATATAATGATTATAGCTAACATATAAATAAATTAATTATTTTACTTGATAGGATATCAATTTGAATATAATAACGAAATTATTGAATTTGATCAAGTGAATATATTGTGATCTTGGCCAAATGATATTCAAATTCATCATGCATTTGATCAGTCACGCCAACTAGCATGTGATCTTGCTGAATTTCTAGGAATGTTGACTCCCGATATTGTACCTATTAATTCACTTCGGCCTTATATCTTAATAGGTCCTAATGATGGAGAAGTATCTGGTTCAGATAATCATGATGAATGCATGCAAGATTCAGATGAGAATTTTTCTAATCTTGATCTTTCTCAAATAATTGGTTATGCGGCTAAAGAAGTGAATCTTATAAGACAAAAAGAAAATGAAAGGGAAAAAGTAAACATAAATAAAGATAGTCAAAATTTGTCTTTAAATGAATGTCAAAAGCAACTTTCTTTTATTGATATAGATGAAACATTGGATTCAAGTATAATTAATACAGGTAATGTTAAAGAATTACAATTTATAAATAATTATTTATAGATACTAATATTATTTATTTTAAATTTAAGATATTAATAATACTGATACTACTATACTGGTTACTGAAAATGTAATTGATTTTCAAGAAATGGTGTATCAACGTGAGAAGCATAATGCTTATAATTCTCGCAATATTGAACGTACAATTAAAACTAATAGTACAAAATTATGCAAATCTGGTTTAATTAAACCTAATCAAGCAAATCATATTGTCTCATTTTTTAGTAAAAATGAAAATGCTGAAATGCGAATTGTTAAACAACGTGAAAAGAGATGGAAAAATGAGCGAAAAACTATGAGCCAATCTCTTGCTACTTTTTATGAAAAGGGGCAATCAAAAAAACGGCAAAAAATTTTAATTGATAATAAAAATTTAAGTGAGTATAAATTGAATAAGTTTATTATATTATTAGAAATTATTAAAATAATTTTTTCATTTTATAGTTGAAAATATTGAATCAGCAAATATTAATAGTCATAATCCTCTTAATGAGCAAGATTTTGTTCTAGTTGTTTTTGGATTACAACTTTGTATTGGACAAGTAATTTCTAGCTTTTATGAAGTATATGGATATTATAGTTATCATCAAGAACCAATTACAGACATTTAAAATATATCATATATAACTCTCAAAGTTTTTACTTCTATATGTAATATTTTTTCAGCTTTAACAGAGGAGGGATGTTTTTTAATTACTCATCAACATCCAAAAAATGTTATTTATCATTTAAACATGCAAGATATAAAGGTTTTTGATGATAATACTCTTCAGTTATTAAACAAAGCAAAAATTTATTATAATTTTTTTAATTAAAAAGAAGTAATTCAGATAATTGCATAGAATTTATAACTTAGAGGTAAAGTTGTATAAAATTATAATAGGATTAGAACTTATATTCTGATTTTGTATAAAGCTATTAATAAAAATTAAATGTATAAAGAACATATTAAAATTTAAATTTGGATCTGAGTTATTTATATATTCTTCGGGGTCCTATTTCAGCTTGGGCTATTAAAGTAAGTTGAGAAGGGTGTTTTGCTTATTTTTTTTTAGGAACGTCATTAATGTTCCTTTTGCTTCTTTTCTTTAAGTGTCACCCTTTATAACCTGGATTTCAGCTTGAGCTATTAAAGTAAGTTGGGGAGGTTATTTTTGAGTTTTTTTTGTCTTTGGAAACGTAATTAACGTTCCTTTTGCTTCTTTTCTTTAGGTGACGCCCTTCCTAATTTGGATTTCAGCTTGGGCTATTAAAGTAAGTTGGGAAAGGGTTTTTTATTTTTTTTTTTGTCTTTGGGAACATCATTAACATTCCTTTTTCTTTTTTCTTTAGGTGACGCCTTTCCTAAACTTTGGATTTTTGGTTTAATAACTTTATTAGTCTCTATTACTGCGAAAGTCAAGAGAAACTTTGAAATTTATAGTAAACTTACCGCAAAACTCAATACCAAAATCTCTAATTAATTTACCACACGTCTATCTATCCTTGACTTGGATTATTAAAGTATGTTGGGAAGGGTATTTTTGGTTTTTTTTTGTCTTTAGAAATGTAACTAATATTCCTTTTGCTTCTTTTTTTTAGGAGGATGCCTCTTGAACCTGGATTTCAGCATGGGTTATAAAGGTAAGTTGGAGGAAAGGTATTTTTGTTTTTTTATTTTTAGGAACGTAATTAACGTTTCTTTTACTTCTTTTTTTAGGAAGACATCTTCTTGGACCTGGATTTTGGCATGGGTTATAAAAATAAGTCAGGGAGGGGATTTTTTTATTTTTTTAGTCTTTGAATAGTCTTTAACATTCTCTTCTTTTTTTTTCTTTAGGGGTCTTCAAACCGATTCAATCCAAATCTTAAACTTTTTATAAATATTATATCAACTAATTTGTTAAAAATCATTTGTAATAATGTAAAAATAAATACTATGTTTATTATTAAAAAATTTCTAATTGTTTAAGTAGAAAAAACTGAATTTGGATTCATCAGATTCACCAGATTGACCAGATTATTCAGATATCCGGTTAACTATCCAGTTAAATTGGTGAGCAAGTATTGACCGGATATCTGATAATCCATTCAGTCAATCTGATGAATCATTTGGATTAATCTGAATCCAGTCAAATTTCAGATGGATGACCGAATATCCAGATTGACTGGATTCAGAGCATACCTCTATCTTGTAAAACTTCAACAGATCAACTAACTGGTGACTAACTTGGTTTTTCATTAAAAAAGTAAAATCATAAAAATAACCAATATTCCACATATCTAACTTCTCAACCTTATTCTCAAGTTGTTGTTTATCTATCTCTTTTTTTGAAAATTCACCTATTATATTTACCAAAACATTTTGAATCTTTTAATTATACTCTGCACAATATTTTGGATCTTAATACATTTCCAAAAATGGTCAAACATTTCTTCTTCAATTCCACAAAAATTACACTTCCAACTATCATCATATAAGTCAGGTTTACGCTTCCTTAAATTAATACATATTGGTAATTCATTACAGCAAATTTAGTTCTAAACGATTGCAGAAAATGATCTTCAAATAAAGTATAGTATTGATCAATACAATTTAATTTTAATGATGTTTTCCAGTCAATCAATTCTAATACTTCTGACTGATATCTTATTCTATTCCTATTTAACATTATGAACTTATCTATAAACTGAGCATCTTTAATTCCTTTTATCATTAATATAGAATTGTGTTCAATAGGCATGTCCCGCCAGCATATTGTACCATTATGTAATAACAATGCATCTTCTATCATCAATATTTCTTTCTTAATACCAAGCTTTGCCAATTTATCTATTTTGTTGTTGTTGTCACTGTTACTATGTGCTTTAACCTTAACTAATTTCACATTAAAACCATATATTCTAATCATTTTGAATAAATATAACCATAAAACCTTATAATTGACTTTCAATTTTTCAATTTCATTAATTGTCAGATTGTTTAACGCATCAAATATATTAACAAGTCATTGAGAATCAGTGAATACCGTAACATTTGCCACTTATGATACGCCATTAAATTCAAAATTACTGGTATCAATTCTGCTTTATTAGAGAACGGATTATCTCCAATACTACAATTAAAGTATCTATCAATAGGAGAACTAATTAAAAAAGCGCTACCCATTTTTATCTCATCTATCAATCCGTTTTTCATAAATCCATCTGTATAAATTTCGATATCACTCTTTTATTCTGGTTTGTAATATCTAATAACTCTTTTCTGTAACTTTTTGGATATATATATCGCAACAATCCATTGACTTTTTTTATATTTCTAGCTTTCTCGTTTGACCCTCCATGATGTTTACATTTTGCTTGAGCCAATACTTCATAAATAAAGTTATCTACCATATACCGATCATTTTGTATAGAACTTGCATTAATTATAACACATTTTTCTGCACTAATATTTGTAACACAACATGTATTTAACTTATTTCTTTACTTCTAGCTTGATCTGTTTTAATTTCACACCTCTACATTTTTTAATTACAAGTAATTGCACTGAAGGAGATATTGTTTCATCTACAATTTCTTGTATCCAATGCTCTATTCAAATCTTATCATTCTCTAATTTATTTAATACACGCCTATTATAGGCATATTCACTTGTTCACAAAATGTCGCTATCCAATTTCTTGTTTTTACATTAGCTATATTAACATCATTATTATATAAATTATATTCTAACTGGTATTCATTTTTCACTTTTTTTGAAATCAGAGGTTCCTTAACAAGTTTGTTTTCAATAAACTTAAACCAACCTAGAACTCTCCCCTGTGTATTAATTTTAATCCTATGTTTTAAATCTTTGTATCTTAAAAAACGCGTCCTATCTAAAGACATTAATTGACTAATAAAATATACATTTTTTCCTTTCAATTCTTTACTAATACTTTTTTGAAATAATTCTTTATGTGTAAATACATCTGTTAATGGCAGTGAACCACCTTGCATTGGTTTTACTTTAACCCCACTTGATTTTATAGTCAGCATATTATCTAATAATAATATTAAAACTCGTGCCAATAAACAATGTTTTACTTGCAAATTTTTCAAACTTATATTCCATATTTCTAACAGAGATCTATTATGCAACAACTCACTTTGTAACTGTTTGCAATTTAACTCAAATATTTCTTTTATCACCCCTTTAGCAATAACTTAATTATATACCCTACTTAATTGTCTTTGAGTCTGAATTGTATTAATATCTTTAATACCATATCCTATACTTGTAGTATAGCCGAAACCCCCTAGTTTCGGCCTAGTTTTGGTTTTGGGTTTCGGACAGTATTGGTATTCAAAAACTGCTTTCTGAAACCAAAACCCCTGGCCAAAATCCGAAATTATGTCTGAAACCTATTATTATAAGTCTGAAACCTAAAAATAGAAATATTGATGATTAATTATTAAATCAATCAACTGATCGATCTAAAATCTAAATCTACATAAAAATTTTTTCACGAAACATTTTTCTTTGTAGTTTGTCGTTTGTCCTATAACTTATAAACCCACATACTTTCTTTATTTTCTACAGTCTTTTTTTTCTTTACTCATCTTTTCCACCTTATTCTCTTATAATAAACAGTTAAACACTATAACTGTATAACAATATAACCTATTAAAAATTTTAAATAAATGTCGTCCAGTTCTTTAAGGAAAGTAGGCGGGCGTCCTATTAGTAAGATATGGGAGTGGTTTGTAAAAGGTGATCTAGTGCCTAATTCTAAAGGATATTATTCAGCGACGTGCTCATTTTGTGAATATCATTGGTCCACAGCTAAGGTGGCAAAACTTAAGAAACATCTCGCATATGAATGTACCAAAGTTGATTCTGATACCAAAATCAGCATTTTAATGATGCTAACTAATAACTGTGATGATTCAGAAGATAATAGTTATGATACTTCTACAACGTCAACCACTAAATCTAAGAAACGAAAATCAAATGATAGATCACAAACTCATATTGATGACCATTATGAAAATTTTCCTACTCTACTGGGTAAAGAAGATCAAATTAACAAAGCATTGGCTAAAATGTTTGTATGTTGCAACTTACCGTTTGCTCTTATTGAGCATCCTTTCTTTATCGAATTTGTTAAAACTTTATGTGCTACCTATAATCTTCCAAGCCGTTAGGTCCTAACAGAAACTCTTATTATTCAAGAAATTTCTAGAATTAACCTCAAAGTAAACAGAATAATTAATGAAGAGAATAATATGACCATTGCTTTTGATGGATGGACCAACCCCACTGGACAATCAATATATAATTATTGTTTGATTACTGAAGATCGTAAAGAATATTTATGGTGTTCAAAGGATTATTCTAATGTTCCTCATCACACTGGTGCATTTCTTGGAGACGAAATTATTAAAATTGTGAATAATATTGGACCTGAAAGATTGGCAGCTGTAGTTTCAGATAATGCACCAGATGCGCGTATTGCACGAAGAATTCTTTGTGCAAAATATCCCCACATTTTAAATATCCGTTGTATGGCTCATTGCATTAACTTGATTACAAAAATCTTGTGTAAACATTCATTTGTTATAGATACAATTCGAAAAGTTGGCATTGTTCACCAGTATTTTACAATGTCTCATGCTCCATGCCAATTCCTTAAAGATTCTGTCAAAATTTTACAAATTAAAGGAGGAGGATTAAAAAGTCATACAAAGACACGGTGGTCTACAATGTGGGATTGTGTTAGCTCTATTGTAAGACTTGAACTTGCCTTTGCAAGGGTAAGTGATTAATTAATGTAATTTATGAATTATGGTTTTATAATTTATTAAGATATTTATTTTATTATTATAATATTATATTATTTATTTAGGTTCTTTCGGAACATGAAAATGATATTAAAAATCGGGTAAAAGATATTCTTCATGATTGAAATTTTTATGAAAATTGTCGAATAATTGCATCCATTCTTCATCCTCTTAAGGTGACTGTAGGATGCCTAGAGTCAAGAACTTCAACGCTTGCAGACTGTTATGTTCATTTATTGTCATTAGCAAGTGCTATTTATCGAATGTCAAACCAAAACATTCAATTTAAAAATCATTGTATAATTAAATTTAACGAAAGATTTCATGAATTTTCTGATGATCTTTTTCTATTGGCTTTTTTTTTGCATCCTCATTATCATGGTAAGTTGAGATTCAAAATTTGGTATTTAAATTAATTAATTTAATATTTTAACATAATTTATCATTTTATTTTAGGAAATGGAATAAATCTGAATCAATTTCATAATATCACTCTCAAAGCAGCTCAGATTTGGAAGGATATGGGTCATAATCAAGACTCATGTGCAAAGCTACTTACTCAACTGCGAAAATATATGAAAAAGAAAACGCTATTTAACCAAAATTATAATTATAAATCATATACACCTACTATTTGGTGGGAGACAGCTCAAAATTCAAAGAAGAATGGGAGTTACAAGCTTTGGCACTTCAACTTTTGCTGTATCTCCACATAGTGCTTCTTGTGAGCGCTCATTTTCAGTTTTAGGGTGGTTTTATAGTTAAAGACGTACAAAATTAGCTGCAAATCGGGTAGAAGGCATGTGCAAATTGCATACTTATTACATTACAAATGCCAAACGTGAATTACCTTACTATGCTATTGATACTTCAGAAAATTCTATGCGCGAAAAAATGATTAATACTATTGTTGAAATTAGCAATGAGTTGGAAGTCAATGATTTTGATTTTTTATATAATGAAAATATAATTGATATGGTTATTGATATGTCACAATCATATGATCTAGATGTTACTTTAAATATAGATATTGAATCTCAGATTTTTAATATGGAACGAAGAGAACCTGAGAATGAGGTAACAGTTGATCAAAATAGACAAACTGTTGTATTGGCTCCAGAACGTAAAGATTTTGATATTGAGGCATTAATAGCCAAAGAAATTGATGATAATGAAAACTGATTTTTTTTTAAATTTTATTTTTTTTTTTTGCAATTTAACATTTTAACGTAATAATAATAATAATTAGGTATGGTAATAATTATAAATTTATAATAATGATAATAAAATTTAAATAATACTAGTATTCACCTGTTGTCTACGACAACAGTTAATATGTAATTCCGGCCAGAATTAAAAGATCTGCAAAGAATTTCCTTTTTTGGAAATTTGAGCAACACAATTTTTTTAATTTCTCTGAAAAGTAACAGAAGACATAATTTCCTTTTTTGGAAATTTGCGTAACCGACAATTTCCTTTTATGGAATCCCGTGTAACCCAAAATTTCAGTTTTTCGCCAGAAATAAAATTTCCTTTTTTGGTCTTGTGTAACATTGGCGACGAATAGGAGTAGGGTTACACAATTCAAATGACTTATTTATATGGTTAATCTAAACATAACGCCCACGTGATTGCAGTGTTTTTAAATATATAGATAATATAAAAAATAAATAAATGCCAATTTTTTATAATAAAATAAGTAAATACATAATAAAAAATGGTTTCAGACTTTCGGCCTATAGTTTCGGCCTATATAAAGTTTCGGCTATAGTTTCGGATTTTGGCACCAGTTTCGGACTTAGGTTTCGGAATTTCGGATTCGGCCACACCTCTGAAAGGTTTCAGCCACAAGTATACCATATCCTATTGTCGAATATATCACACTATTAGGTGTAGTAAGTGGTAGTGAAGCTTTTCTTTTAAACATGTATCTACAAATCGCATTTAATTTTTCTACCTGAATATTTAGCCAAACTAACAATTATGCTTTATAGTCAATATGAGGAATAGAGTTTATATCCGTTATCCATTAAAAAATGGATATTCGCAGATATTTGAATATTCAGATTGGACGGATACAGAATTTGGGATATCCAGATAATCTGACGGATATCCGGATATTATCCATTGAGAATAACTTAGACAAATTTTATAATGCTGGCCAGAATTATGACAAAATCTTTTCTTTTTTAGACATTTATATTACACAACCTCTTAAAAAAGAAAATTTTAAATTTTAGAAAAAATTTTTTTGTGGAATGGCTATCACCAAAAATGGAAATGATCATCTTACCAAGGCGTAATTCTGGTCAGAATTATAAATTTGGCCTGAATTAGTCTGCAAAAATAATTAGATATCCGGATAATTTAGGATATCTGGGTAATATCTGGATAAATCAGCTGGATATCCAGATAAATGGATAACGCAAAAATCGGATATCCAGATGGATGGATATAAACTCTAATGAAGAATGATCATATGATTATAAATATATTTCATCTGTAAATCTATTATTTGCTTAGACCTAATTATTTTGTTATATTTACTAATAATATCTTTACATTAATTGAACACAAAATTGGATTTTAAATCCAAATTGATCCATACTTCCAATATTCTAACTGACTCTTTTGGCATTAAAGGTTTTACTATACATTTTGACGATCCAAAATTGACTTCAATGATTTCCTTATCTAATTTCTTATTCGTTATCATCTCAAATTTATCATAATTTGTTTGTATGTTATTCATTATATTGAACCCGTCTGCAATTTTCAAAATCTGTTCTAATTGGGATTTACTTTTGGTAATCCATGTTAAGGTTGCTAAGTCTAAACTTTAATTAGTAATAGTTTAAACTATAACAAAAGGTTTCGACAATAGCTAAATGTCTAAACTATGTCTAAACTTTTTAATTAATAAAATTTAAAATAAATAATTATTAATACATTATTATATATATTTAAATAAATTTTTTATAAATAAATATTATATAATTATTAATAAATATAGTTAGACTTCCATATAGTAACATTTCATATAGTTATATCATAAAAATTTCTCCTTATAATCACACCTTTGGGAAACTACAATTTATATACTTATTATATAAAAAAACCTTTATATAATTACATTATAGTAAAATTTTCTATATAGTTACCAATTTTTATAGAACTGATTAAATAACTATATAGAGATCTGACTGTACTAATAATAATATATAAAAAGTAAATTATAAAACTGGTTATTAATTAAACTTACTATATATTTTAATATATATAATGATTTAAATAATTAATATAATGTATATTAAATTGTATAATTGCAAAACTGGTTAAATTTATATTAAATTATATAATTTATTATAATAAATGGTAAACTTTATTTCACAGTTTCACAAATTTTTAATTTTTTAATAAAATGTTTCAACTAGTTTCGATTTCAATAATTGTCTAAATTACTTAGTTTCGCCCAGTAACCTTAATCCACGTAACATCATCCATATATGATTGGGATGATATATTTACCTTGAGTTTTTCTACTTGATCCGATTGTACATTATTTTTAAAACAATATTCTATTTCATAACCCATATTTAAAGAATTAATTTCTGTAAGAAGTGGGTCATAATATATAGTCCATAATAACAGGGAAATCACTTCACCCTGATCTATTCTAATGATCGATGAATATTGTTCTGTAATATCTGCATCCTTAATGATACTCTTTTTACTATTTGTAAATAAATTAACCATCAAGTTGATCAAAACCTCTGGAATTTTAATTCTTCGCAATGCTAACTTTAGCATTTTGATATCAACCCTATCATAAGCTTTAAACAGGTCCTAAAATGTTAACCACAATTCTTTATTATTCTTTTTTGCATTCTCGATACATGTATTAATGATTCTTAATGGCACTTCTGTAGATTCTCCAGATAATCCTATGTGGTTGCCCCCTTTTAAAATGGCATGATCAGCGATAGTTTTAGATAACCTTTTTGTGATAATTTTAACTACAACTTTTCTCAAAGTTTCAAGCAATATTATCGGTCAAGTTTTTGTTAACAAGTACTTCTAATCCAGTTATTATTCATTTCATTTTATATAAATTTTATTTATTTGGATATTAGAGAGTATAATAACCAAATTTTCTTACATTTTTAACAATATCTCTCATTTTTTATTGTCATCATAATTTACATTTTTTTTTTTGAAAATTCAGGCAAAAGTATATAATTATATAAAATTTACAAAATTTACTTATAGATTAAATCATCCAGGTTAAATCATCTTGCATTAAAATTAATCTTATATCTCAATGAAAATAAAATTTAAGTACATTTGGTTATGCAGCTTAATAAAAGTTAAAAAAAGTTGTAAAGAAAATAAAGAAAATAATATTGTATAACAAATTACTTAATCATACTAATTAGAAGTCAAAGTAAATCTAAAAAGATAGTGTATTTATGTTGTATATTTGAAATTAATCAAAAATCAAAAAGAAATTAAGGATTCAGAAATCAAAAATATGAAAAGTATTTAATATTTTATTAAACTGAATTTTATATTTTTTTTTCTTTAAAATAGTTTCTATAGGAATTTTAAAGCTAACTGCTAGTATTTGATTTTTATTTATAAATAAAAAAATAAATCATAAATAAGTATAAATTTTTATTACCAAATTAAATAATAATAATTCAAAAAGTTAATTATTTAAAAAATTAAAATTTTACATTTACTAAAAAAAATGATATGAAATAAAAACATATTCACTGATTTGTGAAATTTGCCAATTATTAGTTATATAATGCAAAACTGATTAAAATTAATCAAAACTGTTCCTACATAAAAAAAATAAGTCAAAAATATATAAAAAAAACTTTTAAGACTTCTTTCAAAAAATTCACCTTTTTAACCAAAGTTTCAAATGGATCAGATTAGGTTAGGTTGATAAATCTGACCTGAAATTTTTTTTAAGTCAGATCAGATCAGGTTATATCAGATTATCTGTTTAACCTGACCTGAACTAAAACTTAAAAATTTTAATTTTCAGGATTTTTATTAAAATATCAAAAAAAAAAAAATAGTGCAAACTATTTTTTTATAAAATATTGTGATTTACTTTTTTATATTAAAATTGTATAAAAAAATAATTGCAATATTGCAACTAACTTTTTTTATATAAAATCAATATAAAAATTTTGATACTATAATTCACTTTTTATATATAAAATTAATATAAAAAAGTGAATTTTGATATCGCAATTCACTTTTTATATATAAAATCAATTTAAAAAGTGAATTCTAATATTGCAATTCACTTTTATTATATAAAATCAATATAAAAAAGTGAATTCTAATATTGCAACTTACTTTTATTATATAAAATCAATATAAAAAATGAATTATAATATTATAACTCATTTATATCATCATTCGATTTATCATGATAAGATGATTCTAATGGTGATATATATTATATAAATCATAGTTTCAGATCAACAGAACCATTCAGGTTATATTGATATTACAACCTGAACTGATGTTGAATTGCAATTGCTAAACCTAATCTGATAAATTCAGATCAATCTGTCAGATTATCAGAATTTGGTTAACCTGTTTAGAACTTTATTTTTAATCTGAAATTAATAAAAAAAAATTCTAGAAAAAAAAAATATATATATTATAAAGTTAATAGTTTATTAAAAAAATAGAAAAAATTTTAAAAATCCAGAATATTTAATGATTTAATAAAAAAATATTAACTGAAAAATAATTAATAATAAATATTAAAATAGATTTTAATTAACCAACCAATCATCAATACATAATTTAAATTTATTAAAATATTATTATCAATATTTAAAGTTATTTAGATTTTTTTTTGAATAATTTTGCTTTCTAAATAAATTTTTTTATAATTTATAAAAATAAAAATAAAAAACAACTTTGAATTATATCTAATGTAAAATAATTACTAATATACTTGCAAAAATTCTCAACTTACTTGATGTAAAACTAGTTGAAAAGTTGATGAAGAAGTTAATAAGGAATTTAATAGAAAGTTTATAAAAGAAAAAAATGTTTTAATATTACTTTTTGTTGAAATAATTTCTTGATACTTGTTATATAATTATATAGCATAAGTGTGATTATTTGCAAAATTTAATTAACCTAAT